ATTAAACATGAGCCCCTAGACGTTCCGACGTGGTGGGTTCATTATTACAGTCTCATAAATGGAGACTGAAGAATTCCCAGGGGTATGAAGGGTTGAGATGGGTATCCACTGATATTAACAATCTGTTTGGAAAAGAGAATTAATGAGGACAATTATTATATAGACAGAAATCGAGTTGTATTTATTGTATAAAAATAATTGCTTACTGCTCCTTGGCATTAGTTTAAAAAGCAAGTCACCACTGTCAGCAACGGTCCCATTGATTTATGAAGGAATCAGTTGCATTTCCAGACACGAGCCTACATTATGTCCCTAGAGAACAGATGATACATGAATTGCCAAATGCTTTGTAAATAGACTTTTGATGGGTTCTTATATCTTCTCTTAGACAAATCCTTTTCCCAACGCTTAAATCAATTTGAGAGAGGAGATTTGCATTAAGAAGGAGGGTGGGGACACAAGTCTGTTTTGAAGAACTGAAGCCTACAGACATGTCAATATTTTCCAGTTTTAAAGGACAAGATGAAAATTGTCCCCCTGCTGCCTTCACTGAGCCTTTCTGATTAACCTAAAAATCACCCTTGATCAGCTATGGGCCACCTTGAGTAATAATTAAACAATCAATTTATCATTTGTGTTATTTTTGACACTAGAAGCCATCGACTAAATAAAGTTCAGACATCTAAAAAAAACAAACAAACAAAAAAAAGCATGTCAGCCTAGAAATTACCCCTCAGTTACACCTAGCAAATAAAAAAGGTTGTTTTATTTACCTGCGTAAATCGTAAAGAATAGGGAGCCATGCTTCTAAAAGATTTATATTCATTTGCAAGGCTGACATATTATTCTGATTGTTGATATCATGATATTTTTACATTTTCTGATAATGGAAGGTAGTTACATGCTTATTGTTTTCAAAAAGTTTGGAAGGTAGTTACATGCTTATTGTTTTTAAAAGATTCTTTGTTTTGAAAACAAAGTATAAGGAAAAAAATAAAAGTCACC